ACAAATAAAATGAAATGAAAGGCAGCAGAGAGAAGAAAAATATATTATAATATCTGCCCCCTTTTTCTAGAATAAGTTCATCTAACAAAAAAATCTGTTATTAACAAAAAAAGACAAGAGCATCTAATCCCTCTAGACCAGGGAATCCTGGTCCTGGTCCTCGCAGCCCTGCATGTTTTATTTTTTTCTCTTCTCAAACACACCTGATATGAATGAATGGGTGATTATCAGGCTTCTGCTGTACGGAGAACTGAAACTGACATAATTAAAAATAAAAGCGGAAATATATAAACTGACTAATAAATAAACAAATATAATTCAAAAAGGAGAATTTTATTTAAAACATACACACATTATATATATATACACACATTATATATATATATACTGCTCAAAAAAAATAAAGGGAGCACTTAAACAACGCACGCTGACTCCAAGTAAATCAAACTTTTGTGAAGCACGTTCAACTCTGTACAGAACAAAGTACTCAATGCGAATTTTTCATTGATTAAGATCGGGAGTTAGTGTGCGTTGTTTAAGTGTTCCCTTTTTTTTAGCAGTGTGTGTGTGTGTGTATATATATATATGCGTAAACAAAGCTCCTCTGTGCCTCAGGACGGACCCGTGTCAGCTTTTAATAACGGTAGAGACGTCGTTACTCCTCGGTTGAGCTGCAGATGAAACAATACGTGTTTTTTTATTTTTATTTTTCGCGAAGCAACGTCTGCWGTTTGCCTCCTTTTTCATCTGTTAAGAGAGCGAGGAGGAAAAGTTCTGCGCGGTGCAGCGCAGCTGGAGCGCTGCTGTCCCACCTCCTCTAACCGGGTGAATGAAAGTCAGCAGACATGTGAGCTCAGGTCAGTTTTCTACAATCAGAATAAGATGATTGGATTAAGTGTTTACATGAACCTCATTCTGATTATCAATCCGGCATAATCCACCACTCTCATTCGGATTAAAAATTCATTCTGATCGAGCTCAATCGGATCAGAATAATCGGAACGTGCTGTTTACATGACGCATTTTTATTCCGAACAGCCGTTTAATCCGATTACTTATGTCCATGTAAACGTAGCGGAGTGGACAGAGTCATGTGACTCGTGTTGTAAAAACAGCCTGGTTGAAGGTCCACACTAACTTCTGTTCATGTTCTGAGTCCGCTCTCGTCAGTCGTACTTCCTGTAGCCAGATGTGGTTTAACTTTTGGGAAGATTTTATCATTTTTGCTGCTCAGTCAGGACTTTTATTTTGTAAACAATTTTTTTCCTCTCTTTTTTTTTTTTTTTTTTTTACCCCGAGCTTGTCTGCACTTGGATTTCAAACCCAAGAGCAGAGCTGACTTTGTGAGTCTAACCTTAAAGT